AGGTCTCTAGCAATACACACCAAACTGTGCATGTGCAGCTTGTCTCCAAGGCTCTGTTCTATCAGCAGATGGATTGGGGACAGCAGTAGAAGGGGAGGATCAGAGAAGTCTGGATCAAACATAATTTTTACACAGTGCAGAGGATTAACCCCTTAGGTTCCACAGTGAGTATAACAAGCATGATTTACTGCATATACAGACTGATTTTACTGTTGTGGGTTTAGTAACACTTTAAGCACAAAAAAATAAAAAATCTAGGACACATACTGTAAACCTTTTTTTACATCTATTATTTGACCTCAGCAAATGCAATTATTGTACATATGGCACATGGATATTGAGCTATATGCCCCATGGGTCCCTATATTATTATTAGTATATTATTATACAGGATTTATATAGCGCCAACAGTTTGCTCAGCGTTTTACAATATAACGGGAGACAATACAGCAACAATACAAGAGGGATAGGAGGGCCTTGCTCCTTGGAGCTTACAATCTAAGAGGGAGGGGCTAGTGGTTCAAAAGTTAGTAACTGTGGGGGATGGACTGGTAGGAGGAGTAGAAGATTCCATTATTAGCTGAGGGCAGGATAGGCTTTCCTGAAGAGATAGGTTTTCAGAGATCACCTAAAAGTGAGCAGAGTAGGCGATATTCTGATAAATTGGGGTAGAGAGTTCCAGAGCATGGGGGAAGCTCTGGAGAAGTCCTGGAGATGAGCATGGGAGGAGGAGAGACAAGGGAGCTAGAGAGTAGAAGGTCGTGCAAGGAGCGGAGAGTACGGTTTGGATGATATTTGGAGACAAGATTGGTGATGTAATTTGGGGCAGAGTTATAAATGGCTTTATATGTTATTGTTAATGTTTTGAATTTTATCCGTTGGGCAATGGGAAGCCAGTGGAGGGATTGGCAGAGAGGGGTGGCAGATACAGAATATATATAAATCTGCATGTTCTTCACCTTTCCAAATTTTACCTGAATGTAATAGAAGACACTCTTGAGAGAAATTCTCTAGGCTCCACCAGAATCAGCATTTGCTCTTCTTTCCCTTTACATAGATCCAGACCATCCTGGAATATAAAAACAGCGATTGGAAAATCCATAAATATTTTTGTGTTAGCTGAATGAAAAGAGTTCGGAACTTAATTTCTGTGTTTCTCGTGTGTAGAGCAGTCCATGGAAATGAACAGGCTGCCATTCATGCCACACATGGAAATGCACCTGCATTTGGTTGCATCTGCAGGTGTGAACCAAATCTAAGAGGAAGAGAGGACACCCCAAGATAGCAGCTCTCAATAGCTGGCATTATATCACCATTCTGAGTAAATATTTGTAGTAGGTCTTATGTGCACTCCTTATCCCCCCCCCCCCCCCCCACACACACACACACACACACTTTCTTTTTGCCTCATAACATATTATTATTACAGTGCTAGTGTTACTGTTTGTGTTCTTGTTGTATAATTTTGCTGTTGTTTTGGTAAAAATTCTCTTCTTTGGTCCCGGTAGAACAATTTTCTTACTTAATCCCCCAATACCAGGGTGGATTTGATTTAAATCAAACTGATTTAAATTACGATTTAAATCACTAGTCAGTAAGGCTTGATTTAAATCAGAGTTTTCTACATAAAGACTAATTCTTGCTGGTATAACTTTAATATGCAAGTAGATGAAGATTTTTAGAATAACAACTTTTCATATTAGTTTTTTTATCCCCAGTTTAAATAGGTTAATCATTCATATTTGGACAACTTTTCTGTTGTACTTAGGAAGGAGAAAAATAATCATTACCTTAATAATAACAATTTAAATAGATTTATTCAACTGAAACAATAACATTCCAGCATATGTTATTTGCTTAAACAAACATCCATGTTTATTTACTAATTTGGCTAAACAAAATATATATATTTTTTAAGAAACTTAGACTGTCAGCCCCTTCCTCCTCACACTTAGTTTCACTTTTTTCTTGTGCAGATCTATTCCACTCCAAACAATCAGAAAAATATTGTTTCTATTCTATTCACTGAACTTCTTGAAACTTAGCAGTGAAGGGGTTGATTCTGTATTCATAGGTTTGTAGAAGTTAGGATGAAGGTCTTTTTCTTAACTCTGTTCATGTTAAAACATTTTTGCTGTGAAGAAGAGGCATGTGATCTCCGCTGAGTCAAATTCAGTTTTGAGAACTGCAAAAGTAAACCAAGCATCTGTGATAATATCTTGTAGGCAGAGAAACTGCCCAATAATCTTACAAAAACCTCTGGAAGAGCAAGACATTGTGAATGGATTCATGGAATTTATTTACCCAAAAAATTAAACATATACAGCCTTATTCTACATAATTAAAAAAACTAATCTTTATTTCATGATGGAATAACCTTTGGATGGTAATATATTTTCCTCAAAAAAAAATTTTATTTTATTAAAAAAAAATCCGATTTAAATAAAAAAAAAAATCAGATTTTTTAAAAAAAAGCATTGATTTTTATCCACCCTGCCCAATACTGATGATCTCATCCCTCTGATTCCCACCCTTGGAGGCTGCTCCCAGTGTTAGCCATGATAAGCTCAGAATACCTCTCTCAGTCTTAGTGCCCCCTGTGCAGGCTGATATCAAGTCAGAGGATTTTCAAAGTCCCCCCAAAAAATTAAAAGTCAGCAGCTACAAATACTGTAGCTACTGACTTTCATTATAAGGATATTTAGATATCCATGGATCAAGTGCCGCCCTCACCTGGGCTGGTTACTCACTGGTCTTTGGCAGCCCGGTGCAAGCATGTTTATTAATTGAAGTGCGCAGTGAGCCCTAACAGCTTCACAGCCAGCTACCTACTGCGCATGCACAAGTTGAGCTGCACTTTGTGAATGGTCTTGCAGCTTTCTGGGACTTGTGATGTGTCCCAAAATGTTGCGGGTTAAGAGGGGGGGGGGGTGGGGGTGAAGTTTCTCTTGGATCGCCTGGGCGAAGTTTCACTCGGATTGCCTAAGCGATCCAAGTGGAAGTGGGAGCAGATACCTGTCAAAACTAGATACCCGCTCGACCCCCCCCCCCCCCCCCAGTATGACCGTAACGTAACAACGTATGACCAAACATGTTGGGGGGTGAGTTGGCGGCAAAAAAAAAGAACTCCCTCTTTTGTGTGAAATTCCACTTTAACACTGTATGCTAGTTTTATGATACATTGATTATAGTTTACTGAATACTTACCAGATTACATGATGACATTATATACATGCTTAGCATTTGGCATTCAGGTTTAAAAAATGTATTCTGCATATAGGTAAAAGGAATTACAGAAAACAGTGTGTGAGAATTACATTGTGTGCAGTGGCTTGCTGTTTGTGCACAAAGGGTGGTGCCATAAAAAGAATACAATGGAAACCTTTTCTCATAAAATATGAATTATTAGAATGTATTATTCTCTTTTTAACATAATAACATAAAGGAAACCAGTACTGACACACAGCCTGGATGCCTTCATTACTGACCTTCCCCTGAAAATGTTTGTTGTTTGGCTATTTTTGGCATCAATAAATTCAGAGCTTCCAACTAGAGATGAGCGAATTATTCAAAAATTCAATTCGGCTGATTCGCCGAATTTGCGGGAGAAATTTGATTCAATGCGAATTTATTCGCTGCGAATTTAACTTATTAAAAGGGTTTCTAGGCTTCAGAGAGCCTTTATATTAGTGCAGAACACTGTACCTTTAATTTAAATGCCCTTGGAGTCTGCTGGGGAAGAGAAATAATACTGTCAGTCAGTATGACATGCAGATGAGTGCCGTCGATCTTAGAATCACCGCACACTTCACTCATTTGGGCAGTCACGGGGCACAACGAAGAAGAAGAAGAAGAAGAATGAAAAGAAGAAGAATGAAAAGAAGAAGAAGAAGAAGAAAAAGAAGAATGAAAAAAGAAAGAAAAGAATGAAAAGAAGAAAAGAAGAAGAAAAGAAGAATGAAAAGAAGAAGAAGAAGAAGAAAAAGAAGAAGAAGAAGAAGAAAAGAAGAAGAAAAGAAGAAGAAAAAAGAAGAAGAAGAAGAAGAAAGAAAAAGAAGAAGAAGAAGAAGAAGAAGAAGAAGAAGAAGAAGAAGAAGAAGAAGAAGAAGAAGAAAGAAGAAAGAAGAAGAAAAAGAAGAAGAAGAAGAAGAAAAGAAGAAGAAGAAAAGAAGAAAGAATGAAAAAAAGAATGAAAAATGAAAAGAAGAAGAAGAAGAAGAAGAAGAAGAAGAAGAAAAAAAGAAGAAGAAGAAGAAGAATGAAAAAGAAGAATGAAAAAAAAGAAAAAAAAATGAAAAGAAGAATGAAAAGAAGAAGAATGAAAAGAAGAATGAGAAGAAGAATGAAAAGAAGAATGAAAAGAAGAATGAAAAGAATGAAAAGAAGAATGAAAAGAAAAAGAAGTATTCCAGTACAGCAAAAAGTGTATCTGCAGAGAGCTCCGCTATTTCTGACAGTTCTCTGACAGTTCCTTCACATTTACAGCGGTTGAAACATTGTATCTGTTTCCGAATAAAAACATCTGTATCCTAAATGGAAACAAATAGATACAATGTTTCAACCGCTGTAAATGTGAAGGAACTGTCAGAGAACTGTCAGAAATAGTGGAGCTCTCTGCAGGGACACTTTTTGCCGGCTGATCGGGAAAAATTCGATTCGTGCATCCGAAGTTGGCTAATATTCGGATTCGGCACGAATCGAATTTTCCTGAAATTCGAAACGAATTCCACTTCGCCTGGTTCGATTCGCTCATCTCTACTTCCAACCTAGGGCAAGAATTTAGCTAATGAACCCAGAGAAAAATCAGAACGGCTCATCTAATCTGAGTTATTGACTCAAAGTACTGAAAGCCTTTGGGTTAGCATAATAGTCCAGCAACTAGAATTTCCAAAAGAGACTTTAGTACTGACAGCTCCTATTTGCTCTTACCAATTGTTCAGTGTCTGCCACCCCTCTCTGCCAATCCCTCCACTGGCCTCCATTCAGTGTCCTCCACCCCTCTCTGCCAATCCCTCTACTGGCCTCCATTCAGTGTCCTCCACCCCTCTCTGCCAATCCCTCCACTGGCTTCCATTCAGTGTCCTCCACCCCTCTCTGCCAATCCCTCCACTGGCTTCCATTCAGTGTCCTCCACCCCTCTCTGCCAATCCCTCCACTGGCATCCATTCAGTGTTCTCCATCCCTCTCTCCAATCCCTCCACTGGCTTCCATTCAGTGTTCTCCACCCCTCTCTGCCAATCCCTCCACTGGCTTCCATTCAGTGTCCTCCACCCCCCTCTGCTCAAATCCCTCCACTGACTTCCACTTCCATTCAGTGTCCTCCACCGCTCTCTGCCAATCCCTCCACTGGCCCCCATTCAGTGTCCTCCACCCCTCTCTGCCAATCCCTCCACTGGCTTCCATTCAGTGTCCTCCACCCCTCTCTGCCAATCCCTCCACTGGCTTCCATTCAGTGTCCTCCACCCCTCTCTGACAATCCCTCTACTGGCTTCCATTCAGTGTCCTCCACCCCTCTCTGACAATACCTCCACTGGCTTCCGCTTACTCAACTAATTAAATTCAAGGTACTTACAACAACTTCTAAAGCCATCCACAACTCAGCCCCCAGCTACATCACTAACCTAGTCTCAAAATTCCAGTCTTCCAGTTCTTTTTTCCTTCCTCCCAAGACCTCCTGCTCTCCAGCTCTCCTTTACCTCCTCTTATTCTTGCCTTCAGTACTTTTCCAAAGGTACTCCCATCCTCTGAAACTCCCTTCCCCAATGTGTCCGACTATCTCCTACCCTGTCCACTTTTAGACAATCCCTAAAAACCTCATCTCTTAAGAGAGGCTTATCCTGCCCCCTCCTAGCAACGGTACATGTATTTTTCTCTATCAGCCCATCCCCCGCAGTTATTACTTTTTGTATCAATTGACCCTCCCTCTTAGATTGTAAGCTCTACTGAGCAGGGCCCTCTGATCCCTCCTGTATTAATTTGTATTGTATTGTAACTGTACTGTCATCCTTTGTGCAAACTGCTGGCGCTATATAAATCCTGCATAATAATAATAGTACAGATTTCCTCAAATAGGACTAACCCTCTCAGATGGATATTTTATTGCAGGTGACGTCTGGCAGACTGAGACTGCCCCAGGTTTCTTTCTTAGATCTTGATTGCTCTTACAGGGAGATCTTCCTGCTATAATCCATGACTGTTCCTGGCCACCTTTGCTCTGGCTATGTTTTCCGCAGTCTAGAATAAATATGAAAACCCAATAGAGAGAATGGGACATCTCATAATGGCCACATCAGTTGTGAAAACCTGTGATGCTCAACAAAGATCTCAATAAGAGAATCCCCAGGAGATATAAAGAACTAACAGGCATTTTATCTCAGCAGCACCTACAAAGAACTAAAATATCAGTTTGGAGTTGACTGATCCTTCCACTTTAAATATAAGCGGCTCTAATACAAAAACGTGTTGTCTGTTCCAATCACAACTTACTACACATGTCCAGTCAGCAGGCATCTCTCTTCTCCAGGTAATGCTCCATGGCACAGAGTGTGGCTCTAAGGAGTAAGTATACCCAGCTGAACTCAGAGCTTCCAGCATACCTTCTGACCCTGCATCTTGGAGAAGACCTGCGCAATAAGAGATCAATCAACAACGCAATGTAGACATATATGTGTGTTTCAATGATGCAAAAAGTTGATCTGTAATGTTAGCAAGCACCAAAAGACAATTTATATAGTGCCAACTCTCAATGAGTCAAATTTGCTTGTAAACTCTACATGTAAGAACACAAGGCCTAACCTTGCAGATACCCTCTTCTGGTCCTCCAAAAAAGCTGCCAAACACTAATCTGAAATGGTAGCTTGCGCCAAAAGACTATATATATATATATATATATATATATATATATATATATATATATATAGCCAGTTCTCAATGTGCCCCATTTGTTTGTAAACCCTGCATGTAAGAACATAGAGGTGACCAAGAAGTCCTGGCTGGAGCAATTCGATGAGCCTTGCTACTGGAATATTACTAAGGTCAAAGTGGATTACAGAGCTGAGGTGAGGGAGAGTTCAGAAGATCATGACCGCCGTCCTGCAAAATTGAGAGGGTAGAAAGTGGCGCTGACAATCTTAGCCAGAATACACACCATGGTATTTAAGCTCATCAGACTCTAAGGACTGATTCACACTAGGAATCGCACCGGTATGCGCTGCACGTTCCTGTACGATTCATATGCAGTTATGTGCAGTACGATTTCAGCCTATTCATTTTAAATGGGCTGAAATTGTACTGCACTGCACCTAAATTAGTGCATGCACTACTTTTGTAAACGCACTACAACTGGATTGCATGGTACTTTTGTACCATGCAATGTGGTGTGGGCCAATGCACTGTGTTTACTGTGTCAGTAATATTGCACTGACACCCACTGCAGGTCGCAAGGGCAGCGCATTCAGAATGCGGTGCACGAAACCCGCGCAGCATTCTAGTGTGAATCAGCCCTTAAGGATACTGCACACATGGACATGGTAGACAAGACAGCACACTTGCTTGCCTGCCTCTTACGTCTTCTGCATGTTGTGTTCATTTTTGTGGGCTAGAAGCCAAGGTGGGGTCATGTGTAATATGGGGCTGTGGTGATGCCATGGGAACCTCATTTCATTTTTTTTTTTTTTTTCTCCTGGTGCATCAAGGGAGGGGGCCTTGGGGTACTTTACAATGCCACGTCATCAGGGGGGCTTGCTGAGGCTCTGGTTCTTGCAGCCAGCCCCCTGATGAAGTGAAACATGCATGCCATCATGAGGCCAGCTACAAGAACCCAAAATAGATAGTTCCCCCCTGATGTTGTAAGTAAATGAGATGGTGGAGCAAGACCTGGAATGCTGCAGTGGATCGGTGGTTTGACCCAGGACAACACTATATCAGCTGGATGTGTAAGTATGTATTTTGAAGGTAACCCTGCTAACAAGATAGGAGGGGAACAAAAATAGAACACAGGGATGGTAAAGGGTCATTGAGGTTGCTCTTTTAATAATACATAGAACCTTCCTAGATCTATTGCCATAATTTTCCCTACAGTTCTACATATCACTATTCTTATAGTAAATTATTTATTGTATGGTGACATAGGTTCAGATGTAACAAATACTCCAGTACAGGGTGGATTTGATTTAAATCAAACTGAGTTAAATCACAATTTAAATCACTAGTCAGTAAGGCTTGATTTAAATCCTAGTTTTCTACATAAAGACTGATTCTTGCTGGTATATCTTTAATATGCAAGTAGATGAAGATTTTTAGAATAACAACTTTTCATATTAGTTTTTTTATCCCCAGTTTAATAGGTTAATCATTCATATTTGGACAACTTTTCTGTTGTACTTAGGAAGGAGAAAAATAATCATTACCTTAATAATAACAATTTAAATAGATTTATTCAACTGAAACAATAACATTCCAGCATATGTGATTTCCTTAAACAAACATCCATGTTTGGTAACTAATTTGGCTAAACAAAATATATATATTTTAAGAAACTTAGACTGTCAGCCCCTTCCTCCTCACACTTAGTTTCACTTTCTTCTTGTGCAGATCTATTCCACTCCAAACAATCAGAAAAATATTGTTTCTATTCTATTCACTGAACTTCTTGAAACTTAGCAGTGAAGGGGTTGATTCTGTATTCATAGGTTTGTAGAAGTTAGGTTAAAGGTCTTTTTCTTAACTCTGTTCATGTTATAACATTTTTGCTGTGAAGAAGAGGCATGTGATCTCCGCTGAGTAAAATTCAGTTTTGAGAACTGCAAAAGTAAACCAAGCATCTGTGATAATATCTTGTAGGCAGAGAAACTGCCCAATAATCTTACAAAAACCTCTGGAAGAGCATGACATTGTGAATGTAGTAATGGAATTTATTTACCAAAAAAAAAAAACATATACAGCCTTATTCTACATAATTAAAAAACTAATCTTTATTTCATGATGGAATAACCTTTGGATGGTAATATATTTTTCTCAAAAAGCATTTTATTCAAAAAAATCCGATTTTAAATAAAAAAAATCAGATTTAAATAAAAACAAATCAGATTTTTTTTTAAAAAAAAATCATTGATTTTTATCCACCCTGCTCCAGTATATACACTATATTGCCAAAAGTATTGGGACACCCCTCTAAATCATTGGATTCAGGGGTTCCAATCATTTTCATGGCCACAGGTGTATAAAATCATCACCTAGGCATGCAGACTCCTTCTACAAACATTTGTGAAAGAATGGGTCACTCTCAGGAGCTCAGTGTATTGAAGTGTGGTCCTGTGATAGGTTGCCACCTGTGCAGTAAGTCCATCCGTGACATTTCCTTACTACTAAATATTCCATGGTCAACTGTTAGTGGTATTATAACAAACTGGGAAGAACAGCAACTCAGCCACAAAGTGGTAGGCCACGTAAAATGACAGAGTGGGGTCAGCGAATGCTGAATCGCACAGTGTACAGATGTCGCCAACTGTCTGCAGAGTAAGTAGCTAAAGGCCTCCATACTTTGTGTGGCCTTTAGATTAGCACAACAACAGTGTGTAGAGAGCTTCATGGAATGGGTTTCCATGGCCAAGCAGCTGCATCCGGGCATTACATCACCAAGTACAATCCAAAGCATTGAATGCAGTAGTGTAAAGCATGCCACCACTGGACTCTAGAGCAGTGGAGATGTTTCTCTGTCTGGTAATCCAGTGGACGTGTCTGGGTTTGGCGGTTGCCAGTAAAACGGTACTTGCCTGACTGCATTGTGCCAAGTGTAAAGTTTGGTGGAGGGGGGATTACGGTGTGGGGTTGTTTTTCAGGGGTTGGGCTTGGCTCCTTAGTTCCAGTGAAGGGAACTCTTAAGGCATCAGCATACCAAGATATTTTGGACAATTTCATGCTCCCAACTTTGTGGGAACAGTTTGGGTATGTTCCCTTCTTGTTCCAACATGATTGTGCACCAGTGCACAAAAGAAGGTCCATAAAGACATGGATGATTGAGTTTGGGGTGGAGGAACTTGACTGGCCTGCACAGAGTCCTGACCTCAACCCCATAGAACACCTTTGGGATGAACTAGAGCGGAGACTGTGAGCCAGGCCTTCTCATCCAACATTCGTGCCTGACCTGACAAATGTGCTTCTGGAAGAATGATCAAACCTTCCCATAGACACCCTCCTAAACCTTGTGGACGGCCTTCCCAGAAGAGTTGAAGCTGTTATAGCTGCAAAGGGCGGGGCCAACTCAATATTGAACCCTACGGACTAAGACTGAGATGCTATTAAAGTTCATGTGTGTGTAAAGGCAGGTGTCCCAATACTTTTGGCAATATAGTGTATGTTTAGATAGCACAAACTGAGAGCTGTTGATTTCATGATAGATGTACCAGCTACATCTTGCAGAACTTTAGTTAAACCTCCAGTGTATACTTATGATAGGGACAGATTATAATTTAGAGTTGTTATTGAAAGACTGTCAGCTAAGAGCACGCACACATAAAGAGGTTTAAGGGGTGTTTTCTTTGATGTACTCCAGTGAAGATAGCTGCAGGATTCTAGAATACCACTGAAGAACTCTGAAGACCTAAGGTGACCGAAGGAGGATGGATAAATTTGAAAGGTTATGTTTGCCAACTTGCTTGATTTTCCTAAATAATATATGAAACTAGCTAGGTTTTGTTAACAGTGTGCTCATTCTTTAAATCTTAATTTACATATTTTAACTTGTGTTTGTGTCTTCCAGAACATGGACCATGGGCAAGCCTGGGGTTATTTAACATATCGCGGTAGGTCCTGGTACATTAAATGTCATTACAAATTTAAAAAAAAAAAAACAGACCAAAAACATACTGTAAAAAGTTTAATAGAAATCCATGTTAATATTTTAGTTCAACGAAATTATTAAGGGAAAGTTAATGTGTATTAAGGTAAAAAAAAACCTTCTGCATGTAGCTTCCCCTTGTACTCACCTGAGCCCAATCTCAATCCAGCAGTGTGCACAGGAGCAGCCGTTCTCTTGGCTCTCTCCCTCCTCATTGGTTCCCACTGCTGTCAATCAGAGCCAGGGAGGAGCCGCGCTCTGTGCGTCTATGGACACACAGAGCCAGCTCGGAAGCAAGCATGCTTGCTATGAGGGCACTCGGTGGGGGCAAAGAGCCAGGAGTGCCAGCAGGGGAACTCACGGAGAGGAGAATTGGGGCTGCTCTGTGCAAAACCATTGCACACAGCAGTTAAGTATAACATGTTTGTTATTTAACCACTTCAAGTCCGGACACTTTTACCCCCTTCCTGTCCAGGCCAATTTTTCAGCTTTCAGTGCTATCACACTTTGAATGACAATTGCGCGGTCATGCATCACTGTACCCATATGAATTTTTTAGCATTTTTTTTAAACAGATAAAGCTTTATTTTGGTGGTATTTATTCACCACTGAGATTTTTTTTTTTTTTGCTATGTAAATGAAAAAGTCCCAAAATTTTGAAAAAAAGTGTTTTTCTTACAAAAGTTTGCAAATAATATTTCATCGTAAATCTTGGCCAAAATTTATTCCGTTTATCTTTTTAGTAAAAAAAAAAAAAAATAAATAACCCAAATTAGTTTATAACCAAAATTATAATTTTTAAACATTTGTTTGTACATTTTTTTTTATTTTTTTTTTTATTATTATTATTATTATTTTTTACTGTCGCCCTAGCAGTACAGTGTCATGGTGGTGACACTACTACTTGTGGGGGGTGATGAAGATTTTTTTTTTTTTTTTTTTTTTTTTACACTGATTGCTTTTACACCCATAAAGGCTATAAAAGCAATCATTGCTCCTTCTCTCTGGCTGCATTCTTGTAGCCATTGAGAACTACTGTGTGAGCTGTGATTGGTCACAGCTTGTCACATGGTACAAGGCTGTTGTGAATAGCTTTGTACCATGTGACCTCTGTGATCATTCACAGATTTCACACGTAGTAAGCAATGATGTCAGAAGTAACATCTTGCTTAATACTCTGCATGTGATCACTGATTGGCCAATCAGTGATTACATGATCGGTACCTTGCACAGAGGTCCCATACGACGATCGGTGTTCCACTGTGTCCGGAGGACACAGCGGGCACTAGATCACAGTGCTCCCAGGGAGTGCGCACAAGCAGGGGGCGGGGAGGCTGTTTATAAATGTTTACCCGACCCTGTACTGCCACCGTCTGGCCGTTTATATACAACAGCTGGACAGGAAGTGGTTAAAAAAAAATAAAAAGCAATCTTACAATTAGTTTAATAATTAAGGTTGGTGGTAAAAATGTCTGGATGACATCTAAAATACTGTTTTCTATAAAGGAAGGGGTGTGGGAGTTTGCTTAAAACCGTGCGTACATGCTCTCTGATGATCCCGTCCAGCTAGTCTTGAGGGAACATATCAACGTAGAGGAATCTTGGGGATGCATTTTGTTATATAATTCTGTTTTCATAGATCCTGTTGTCTGCAGATGACTTTATTGAAGAAAAAAAAAAAAAAAGCAAGTCTTTCTGGCAGGACTGCTTAGAACCCAGTGCAGCCTTCAAATGATAGCATCTGAAAGGGAGTATGCCATAAAATTTGATTGCAACATCCGACCTTTTACTCATAGGCAAGCAACACAAACTGAAGCCACAGCAAATGAGGGGTTATGAAATGTGAAAAAAAAAAAAAAAATAATTGGCCAAACTAACTCATTATATTAATTTTCCAAATTCTAGTATAAATTCTTACACATATACATAGGAATAGATTTACTAAAACGGAGCGTTCAGGATCTGGTGCAGCTGTGCATGGTAGCCAATCAGCTTCTAACTTCAGCTTGTTCAATTAAGCTTTGACAAAACCTGGAAGCTGATTGGTTTCTATGCAGAGCTGCACCAGCTTTTGCACCCTCCAGTTTAAGTAGATAACCCCTATTGTTTCCTTTTAATTCTTTGTAGAGTTTGCAGTGAATAGTTTGGTAAACAGTGTAGAAAAGTAATTGATGAACTAAGCTGTTTAACCACTTGCCTACCAGGCACTTATACCCCCTTATTTACCAGGCCAATTTTCAGCTTTCAGCGCTGCCGCACTTTGATTGACAATTGCACGGTCATGCAACATTGTACCCATATGAAATTTTGATAATTTTTTTCTCACAAATAGAGCTTTCTTTTGGTGGTATTTAATCGCCACTGGGCGCTTTACTTTTTGCGCTATAAATAAAAAAGTGCAAAAAATTTGAAAAAAAAAAAAGTTTCTTTGTTTCTATTATAACATTTTTCAAACAGGCATTTTTTCTCCTTCACTGATGTGCGTTAATGAGGCAGCACTGATGGGCACTGATAGGCGGCCCTGATGGGCACTGATAGGCAGCACTAAAGGGCACTGATAGGCAGTACTAATGAGGTGGCACGGATAGGCGGCACTGATAGACAGCACTAATGAGGTGTCACGGATAGGCGGCACTAATATGCAGCACTGATAGGTGGCACTGATAGGTGACACTGATGATGGGTACTGATAGACGGCACTGACTGGCATCACTGCTGGGCACTGACTGGCAGCACTGACTGGCACAACCCCTGGGCACTGACTGGTGGCACTGACTGGCAGCACTGCTGGGCTGCACTGGTGGGTGGCACTGGTGGGCAGCACTGGTGGGTGGGCACAGGTGGGTGGGTGGGCACTGGTGGGCACAGGTGGGTGGGCACAGGTGGGTGGCACAGGTGTTGGGCACATGTAGGTGGCACTTCTGGGCACAGGTAGGTGGCACTGCAGAGTGGCACAGGTGGATGCACTGCTGGGCACAGGTGGGTGATCTGCTGGGCACAGGGCACAGGGGGGAGCTAGTGGGCGCACTGCTGGGCACAGGTGGGCGGAACTTGCGGGTGGCACTGCTGGGCACCGATCATCAGGGCACTGATCATCAGTGCCCTGATGATCGGTGCCGATCCCCGCTCTGACAACTGCAGGTTCTCGGCAGTACTTTCCTCACGATCTGACAGCGTGAGGAAAGTGCAGCCGAGAACCGGCACTTGCATTTCCCTCTGATCAGCGTGTCATTGGACACCGCTGATCAGGTGGTAAAAGGCGCTGTGATTGGCCTTTTACCACATCACGTGATCAGCTGTGTCTGTAGGACACAGCGATCACGGAGATCGCCGGGTGCGCGCCCCCTGGGGCGCGCAGGAGAGCGCGTTCTGGGGGGACGTCATATGACGTCCACTCAGAACTGGCCGGCCGCAGTGAAGCCGTCATTCGGCTATCTGCGGTCGGCAGGTAGTTAAGAAAGAGAGTGAAGTACACTATATGGTTAACGATTTGCGGACATTTATTGACCATCAAACCCATATGAGTTTGTTGGACATCTCTCAGGTTAATTAATTAAGGGTATTCGTATTGAACAATTGCCACCAGATTGTAATTGTCTGAATGTCTTTAGGAACAATCGAGTATTGTCCATGATACTTTTTTTATTTGCACTAAAGCCTGGTACACACTGAATGAGAAAAAAAACGGACAGCTCAGGAGGAGCCACTGTACTAATTATTATTGTTATATAGGATTTTTTTAGCGCCAATGGTTTGCTCAGCGCTTTACATTATAGTGGGAGACAATACAGTAACAATACAGTTCAATACAAGAGGGAATTGAGGGCCCTGATCCTTGGAGCTTACAATCTAGGAGGGAGGGGTGAGTGGTACAATAGGTAAAACTGTGGGGGATGGAGTGGTTGGAAGCATAGAGGATTCCAGTATTAGCAGAGGGCGGGATAGGCTTCCCTGAAGAGAGAGATTTTAATGATCGCCTAAAGGTAAGTAGAGTAGGTGATAGTCTGATAGATTTGGGTAGGGAGTTCCAGAGAATGGGTGATGCCTTGGAGAAGTCTTGGAGATGAGCATGGGAGGAGGAGATAAGGGAGCTAGAGAGTAGGAGGTCTTGCGAGGAGCAAAGAGTACGGTTTGGGTGATAGAGATAAGATCAGATATGTAAATTGGGGCAGTGTTGTGGATGGCTTTGTATGTCATAGTATACTAATGATCCGATATTGGTACAGCGAGCTCCCCTGCTGTGCTATTGGGTTCTGACAGGGATGCCCCCCATCCCGGACAGAACACTTCGGTCAACACTGTCAGCCATTGGCTGAGAGCACTGATCAGGAGCTGATCAGCAGACCTTCTTCAATCATGCCTCTTTGACAGAAGCCGACCGAACGTCTGGCTTCTGACAGACCGGCTACCACATCGGGCCAAATATCCAATAAAAATTGGAAGATGCCAAAATACCGCTCGACATTTGGCCCGTGTGTAGTAGGCTTGACATCCAAATCTAAATGTCTTTGTATGCTAGAGAATTGTAGAATGAACAGTACCCTTCACTAAAACACATTCACTCAATTATTTGGAGTGGGGTCCTTGTAGCTTTGGCCATATAGCGTATTTCTCATCCAGGATCATAAGCAGAGCCTATCTTAGGTAGAGTGACTTGATGATCTTATATTGATGGTCATCTTCTTCATTCACCCAGGTAAAACCGTGCCTGAAGAGCAGGAGATCAGCAAAGTCATGTACCATGACTGGCGTCTTATACCACGGCATGAAGAAGAGAACTTCAAGCAATTTATCCCTCTGCCGGAGCCAGAACCTGTCCGCTATGTGCCATACCCACCACTACTGAGGGCTATTGCTCTGGCTCAGTTGCAGAAAGAAGGAAAGCCTTTAACAGAGCCCATGCTGGACATTGGGAGATTACGGGAATCTGATCATGAGCTCCAAAAGGAGCTTAAAGTGAGGAGAGCCAAAACAGGGACACCAGTGT